GCCAGTTTAAAGTGTTTGTGTGTTCTTATTGATGATTTTGACTGGTACATATTTTGAGTTAAGATGAATGTTTTAAAGCAGCATCATATCAGTTTTGTTTATTCTATTTCTAAAATGTGCTGATCCTTTTAAAACTCCTGCTTATCTCTACAACAAAGAAAAATATTCAAAAATACTGCCTTCATTTTCACACACAGTGCTGAAGATGCTGCAAGCACCAAATCATAGCTCATAAAATCAGGTCCTGAGATAGTTACCCATAAAGAGGAATCCTTTGAGTGTATGCCATTGGTGAGCCGATGAGCATGGACCATAGAAGGGCTCAATGTAGAAGGTAAAATTGGCGAATCATAATTGAGAAATATGAAATGTATTCCCATACATAATATGGTATAGGGTATAATGTACCTGCTTTTGATCACTTCATTTTAAAGTGCTATTCACTTGCTCTTAAATGTTCCGTGAACTGTTAAGTTTCATAAGTTATGTAGTTATTGCACCACATTTGTGTGTGCGCATTTGTGTGTGCGTGTGTGTGTGTGTGTGTGTGTGTGTGTGTTTGATAGTCAATGATAGGTATGTTAAGATAATATAAAGGAGCTCTTTGAACTTTCAGAGATTGTCAAGTTTGGGTTAGCTGTAGCTTGCATTTTTACGAAAGAAAATACAGATGAATGCTAATAGATATTGGGGCATTGTTTCTGTCTTATGAGAAATTTTTGTCATTACCATAAGCCTTCACTAATACTGCAAGCATTTTTTTAATGGCGCTAATCTTAACCTTGAAATTAATGCAAAGCAGAAAAGGTGAGCCAGTTGGTTTGAATACAATGGGTGTTAGGAGTGGTAGAAACAATGTTTAGTTTAGATTGAAATTGAACTGACTTATTTTATTTTGCACTTAAAATTTTGAAAATGTTTTTTTTTTAAGATATGTTAGTGTGATACTTAGAATTCTTATGTTTTGATGTTTCTTTTAGAAATGAGAAGTATGCTTTTATTTTTAACAAATGGTTAGAACTAGTCATTTAATACTAGTTGTTTATAGACATTGTAAAATATATCCTTAGACAAATACCTTGGTAGTTAATTCAGAAGGGTGGGTTTGGGTAGGAGTAGCAGAGTACCTTAAGAGAGAAAGAGGAATATACACAGAAGGGATAACATTTCATTTGTGTGAATACTCTGCCAAGAGAATCAGTTCTATGTGCAAAGTTGTCTGTTGTCTAGAATAGGGGTATAGAAATTAGTAATCAATGGGGATGTCTTATTTTTAGTTCTTGACAATTCTGCCTCGTTTTAAAATGTATTTTAACAATACCTAAAAGATAATTTTGACTCTGAAAATAACCTTATTTTTTGCTTAGTCACTTGAGTTTTATTGCCACAGTATAAACTTCTGAGGGATTTTTTACATTGGTGTTTCTAAGAAGCAAATAAATCCCAGGGTTTTATTTTCTTCATTTATACCCCTATAGAAACTCTTAAATGTACTTGCACATATATATATTTTTTCTTATGCATGCTCGATGCATTTTCGTCCTGAGAAAAGTGTTCTCTACAGAAACTACCCGTGTGTAAAAAGAAGATTGGCTTAAAATGGCTACTGTGATGGGAACAGTGTCTTAGGGAGATGCAGCTTGGACTGGAGGTAAATTGAATACTTTACAAACTGTGGTTTAGAGTTTGCTTTAATGACATTGTATGTAAAAGGACACATGATTGCTGTAATTTTGTATTATGGTTTCCTCAATAAAAAAATAAATGTACATTGATGAATATTATAAGGGAGTGTTTTGTCTTTTCTAAAATACTGAGACTTTTTTTTTAAATATAGAAGTTACTTTATTATGGGTTTACATTGTAAAACAAAATTGTCTTCCAGAAAATTAAAATATAAAACAACTTGATGATAGAACATGGTAGCTGATTATTTACAAACTCATTTTAAAGACCAGAATTTAAAATTAAAGATTGTGCATTCTCCCCCCCCCCCCCCCCCCCCATTGAAATGTCATTTGTTCAGGCAAGGTCACAACATAAATTTGTTTTATAAGCTTGAGCATATATTACACACATTTGAAAAGTACATTCAATATTATTCTCAACACTCAGAACTCTGTATAGGCAGTGGTTTTCATCCAGTTTTCTCTGGCATTTGTTTCTTAGAAGTCTTTAATTTTGTGTTTTTCCCCATTCTCCTCCTCTCCCATAAAAACAGTGATATCCCAACCCCCTCCTACATCTGCTTCACAAAGGCTCTCAAACTACAACCAAAATTATGTACTAAGGGAAAACTCCCACTCAAATTGATAGGTTCCAAATTCATTGTCTCGGCTATTTCAGACTAATTTTAGGTGTAAATAGCTCATTGACGGCATTCTTTCATGCAAAAATAATGTGTTGTTTTTGATACTTTTAAACATTGCTGTGAACTTAAGGTAAATGCACAGCCTAAGTTCTGATATAATTGAGTAAATTTCCCACTTTCCCATTAAATGCACATTAACTTATGCATAATTGGCGATGAATCTGGTGCTCATTGGAAAGGAGGAAGGTATTCTTTAGATGAGCTTGTGTTTTGAAGACTGTTATGAAAAGGAATTAGAAGTCAACATAGTGGCACTTCTGGTTTCCTTTTTTGGCCCCGCCACAGAAAAGATGGATGTAGTAAGAAAGTCGGAGAGAGAAAGAGAGTTCCAGGCAGAGGGAAGGGGAGCTAGTAGTCATCAGCTAAAAAAGAAGAAGAAAAGTGATTCTTTTTAAAGGGAAAAATTTTTAAATAGAATAAAAGTATTACATTTTTTAAAAAGTGATTAATTCTTACTTTCAATTGTAAGAATACAGGTACTAGCTGCAGAGCCTTTATTGTTGACAGCTTTACACATATACTCTCCTTCATCTTCTGGGAAAGTTTCTGGTAAATAAAGGCAGTAAGTTTCTCCTCTTTCGATATATTGATAGTCTTCTCCATCCTGCAATAATTCTCCTTCAAACCACCATGTAATTTCTGGTTTGGGTTCTCCTGTTACTTTAACTGTAAATCTAACAGGCTCACTATCTACAACCGATGTGTTTTTCAGAGGCTTCTTGAACCACGGAGCTCCTGACCTGGTTTGCTCTTCATCTTCAATAGTGGAGCCATTCATGATGCTACCCTCCTCTTCTTCCTCCTCTTCTCTTTTCTATATTAAAATAAATACATTCAAGTTGTCACTTTTAGTATAGCAGCATTTTCAGGACAGTGATTTAATCACAATCTTGGAGGTAAATAGGTTTTTTTGCCCTCAAAGTAAAGAGCATGTAAGTACAGTCGTGCACCACTTAACAACAGGGTACGTTTTGAGAACTGCATCATTACGTGATTTGGTCATTGTGCAAATATCATAGAGTGCATTTACACAAACCTAGATGGTATAGCCTATTGCTTTTAAGCTACAAACTTGTTACTGTACTGAATACCATAGGCAGTTGTAATAGTATTTGATATGTAAACATCTAAACAAAAGTACAGTAAAAATAACAATGTTACAAAACATTCCAGTGACTTACTAAATGGTTTTTTACCCCTCATATAAAACTGGCTTTTAGAGCATCTTTGGAAAATAAAGGCTATGTTTGTCTGGTACCTTCTGTAGTGCTGCATCAATTTCCTTTTGTTCAAACTGCATTCGTAGTAACTTTTGTTCTTCAATTCTTCTTTGTTCTTCTTCTTCTCTTGCTTTAGCCATTTGTTCAAATCTAGCTTTCATATTCACTTTATGAGTAAACGGAGCCTCACTTTTTTTTGCAGGCTTGACATCAACATCTTCTTCCTTTACAAAAGTGGGCCAAGAATAAGTGTGGCTTGTTTTCCAAAAACCAAGAACTAAGTACTAATAGTCCTGAAGTTGTCATTTATAATAGGCACAAAATGATTAACATTTGTATACATATTTGTGCTACACTATAGACAGCAGTTTTCACAATACCTTAGTTTGGGAAAGATGAAATTTTTGTTTGTGAAACGTTCTCTTAACAAATGGAATCCTTTTCTCCCAATGTAAAGATCATACAGTATCAGTGGGATCCCAGTATCTTTATTTCCCCAACTGTCAGTGTTTGTTGACCATACTGAATAACAGTGGGGATACTACATATAACAAAATACTCCCATATTAACCACTTCATGATTTCCTTTGTCACCCTACTTAGTTAATAAGTGTCATTCCAATTAATTCCATCCAACAAATTTATTGATGGTCAAATGGCAGAGAAGAATGCAGGTAGAATAAAGGGGAAAACTGAGGCAATGATGAATTTGGGGAAATCACTGAGGTGAAGAGTGGTGAGTCATCTATTTAGGGATAAGAGTTGGGAACCATGGAAATAAAAATTGAGAGTAGTGTTTCAACTGTCAAATAGTATGTGTGAGCCAATAAAATCAAACTATAAGGCCATCATGCGATCACTGACAGCCTTAGAGTGGGGTCATGTAGATACAGTTTATGGTTTCTAAAGTACTTCAGTCATACTTGACAGTTTTGAAACTAGGTTTTTTATGGGTCTGTCTAAAGCAGCAGTTCTCAATCTGTGGGTTGTGACCCCTTTGGCGGTCGAACGACCCTTTCACAGGGGTCGCCTAAGACCATCCTGCATATCAGATATTTACGATTCATAACAGTAGCAACATTACAGTTATGAAGTAGCAACGAAAATAATTTTATGGTTGGGTCACAACATGAGTAACTATTTAAAGAGCCAGAAGGTTGAGAACCACTGGTAAAGATATCACCATATATATTACAAAATAAGAGAACTGTTCTAGGGTACCAAATCAACTAAATTTTGAAACAAGCTGTAAAGTTTCCTATAGTAAAACCTTGATTTATGGATGTTTTACATCAATTTGAGATATTGCAGCTAAGTTCCAGTGAATGTAGGAGGAGGAATTAGAATAAGTTGAATAAACCGATGAACAAAAACAGATGTAGAGACAGAGAAGCATCGATCAGATGCTCAAAACTCAGAGGGAAAGCAGGGGAGGGTGGGGGTGAGGGGGAAAGATCAACCAAAGGACTTGTATGCATGCATATAAGCATAAATGATGGATGTGGACAACAGGGGGTGAGGGTGAGGGCAGGATTGGGGGGATAAGGACACATTTGTAATATTCAATAAAGAGAAAAAATATTTTAAAAAGTAAGTTGAATATTTTCCGATTTTACTTGAATCATTTTTATGTGATGTTGGGAAATCCTTGGGCATCAGACACAACCATATACCTATTGGGTAAATTCTATTAATACCTTCAGATGATAAACATGCCTGCCCATAGCTATTGCTAATGAAGGATGTTCTGGGGTTCTTGTTGTTACAGTTTTTAAATAGGCTAAAAAGTATATGTAAATAGAATTCCTCTGAAGCTAATTGGGGAAAACTTATGAACAGTCTGTTATTAAATGCAGTTGTGTTTTTTTGTTTTGTGGTTTTGTTTTGGTTTTTTTTGGAGAGAGCGAAACATTGATTTGTTGTTCCACTTATCTGTGCATTCATTGGTTGATTCTCGTATGTGCCCTGACTGGAGATCAAACTCAAAACCTTGATGTATTGGGATGATGTTCTAACCAACTAAGCTACTCAGCCAGGGCAATTGTTACCTTTTCTTAAATCTATGAAAAGCCACATTTTAAAATGTTACAGAAAATGAGTCTCCTGTCATACTAAAAGAATAACTTTTGTTCTCTAGGTGCATTCTTAAGAGGACATTGACACCCCAGCACATGAATATTAAGGACAGTATAATTAGGCAGTAAATTTAAGATAAAAGGGAAGCATAAGGAAATGGTTTTTGAGTATACCTTATTAGAAAATTAAACTACAAAGTCAAACACTATAAGGCAATTAAAGTATTTTAAGTACCAAATGAGGTACGGGTTAAGGGCTACAGGAGCTGGAATGGAATTCCTTGATTAGGGAAGGTTACATGAATGAGTTGGTCCTTAAAAGATGTCTCAAATAGAAGACGTATTGAACATTGACATTTTCTAAAGGTAAAAACCAGATACATGATGGGGGGGAGGGGGGCGGTCCTATTCTGAAGTTGATTGTGCTCAATGCCAAAACTGCTAAGTTTTTTAAGGATAGCTCAATGACCTTTAATATAGAGCAGCGGTTCTCAACCTGGGGGTCGAACGACCCTTTCACAGGGATCGCCTAAGACCATCGGAAAACACATATATAATTACATATTGTTTTTGTGATTAATCACTATGCTTTAATTATGTTCAATTTGTAACAATGAAAATACATCCTGCATATCAGATATTTACATTACGATTCATAACTAGCAAAATACAGTTATAAAGTAGCAACGAAAATAATTTTATGGTTGGGGGTCACCACAACATGAGGAACTGTATTAAATGGTCGTGGCATTAGGAAGGTTGAGAACTGATCTAGAGGGATATGATCAGAGGAATGTCAACATTCTTTACAGGAAACAGTGTTCAGGGCATCCACATGGGTTATAGATCAACCATGTCCTACTATATCCTTTTAAACAAAAGAGCCAATAAATAGCAATAAAACAAGAAGTAACCACTTCATTTATTTCTGTCTTACATATTTTATAGGGCTAGGTATTACTGCTCTGAGGTTTCACTACCTTTAACAAAGGGAATCAAATGCATGCTTATGGAACTTTAGATAGAGCGACATTTATCTTGCTAAAGAACCACCTGATATTTTGGCCAAACAAACATTAAATGTTGGTGTTCTCCAGGGTTTTATCATTTACTTTCAAACT